GGTTCTGCTTCCTTCCCCGTTTCCCACAGCATCTGCTTGTGCCGCAAATGTCGGGGTAACGCTGCTCATTTAGAAATGCAGTTTTGGTTTTTAAGATTAAGAAAAAAAGGTGGGGAAAAAAGGAAAAAAAAGAAAAGAAAAAAAGAGAAAAAAGGGGGAGGAGAAGGCGGGAGAAGAGTCATAAGAAAAAAAACCATCCCAAGAAATGTTCCCGGCTGGCTCCGGCAGATCTTTAGGCCAAGGTGTCTCTCTGCAAACGAGCAGGGCCCGCAGGAGGGAATTGCCGGCCCTGCTCCAGGCGGACATAAATGAAAGAGGTTTCTCTCTGTCCGGACAGAACTTCTCTCAGCCGCTGAACAAGGCCCTTCCCGCCGCCGGGTCCTGCCGGGGTCACGGCGCCAGCCGCGATGCCCGGGTGGGTTTCTCCCCCGCCTCTCTCCCCCAAAAGCTGCCAAGGGAGAGCCGGGACGAGGACCCCCACCAACTTAAATAAATACATAGACATTAAAAAGCCGTAGGGTTTTCCCGCTGCTCCTTGTTTTATCTCGCTGCGTTTCCCATGGAGAAACTTCCCGGGCTCCTGTTCCCCCGTCCCCGGGGCGGGTGGGGACCCTGTGCCCAGACGGGACGGGCAGCACCTTACCTGTTCTTAGCGGCTGCTGCCCTGTCCCTTTGCCGGCGGTTTTTGAACCAGTTGCCCACCTGCGTGGGGGTAAGTCCCGTGGCCTGAGCCAGTTCCCGCTTTTTGCTGGGGTTGGGGTAAGGGTCCTGCAGGTACCACTCCCGCAGCAAATGCCTCGTCCGCTCCTTGAAGCAATGTGTCTTCTGCTCGCCGTCCCAGATGGTGCGGGGCAGCGGGAACTTCTTCCTCACCCGGTACTTGTCCACCGGCCCCAGGGGTCGGCCCCGCAGCTTCTCCGCCTCCTGGTAATGCGCTTCCAGCCAAAGGGCTTGCAGTTTGGCGTGGGACTCCTTGGTGAACTTGTGGTTCTCCAGGATGTGGTAGAGCTCCCGGTAGTTCCCCGTGTGGAAGGCCACGATGGCCCGGGCTCTCAGCACCGACTCGTTCTTGTTGAGGGCCTCGCAGGCCGCGGGGGCCACGGGCAGGGACCAGAGGAAGCGCCCCAGGCGCTCGATGTCCCCGCTTTCCTCCAGGGTCTCGCATACCCCGGCCACCTGCTGCGGGCTGAAATTGAGGATGGGCAGCTGGAACATGGAGGCGGCTCCCGCTCCGCGCCCCGCGCACCCCCCGGCGATGCCCGCCGGCC